TTATTTAAACGCTACATAACTCTGACACAACAGCAGTCTGGTGTTTCTGGTAGTCCACAGCCTGTACCTCACCAAATGGAGGAGGCAGGGGAGTGGTACTAGGGACTTGGAGAGAAAAACTAAGCTCTCCCCCTCCTCCCATTCATGGTGTCCTGTACTTGCATTCGCTGTGGGGATTCTTTTTTGCCCAAAGGCAGTGCTATTTGAAGAAAGGAGGGGAAAAGTGGTATCAACAGGAACTGGTGATGTTCAAGGGTATTTGCACCAAAGATCTTTCAAAGTGTCTCATCTCTTTTCCTCCCATCTCTGGGATAGGGTCTGAAATATGGTTGTGTTCAGAGCGACTAACTAGGGTTGGTCTTAGACAAATGCTACCGGGGAAGGGCTCCCAGAATGTGAATCCTTGAGGCCCCAAAACATGGTGCCCTGGGAGGCCATACACCCCACACAGGCCTGCGACCTGCTCTGCACATGCTTCAGTGTTATTCACTCTGCATTACCTTCTGGGATGCTGCAGAGTCCAGTGGTCTTTGCACTGCTATATCCAGTCCCATGTATGCAGCATTCTGCTGCAGTGGCTCTGTACTTTCCATTGGTGACTGCACTGCCTTCAGTCCCTGCCACCGGGCAGTTCCCAGGGCTGTTTGCCAAGCAATCAGTTTGTAACCAAGATGACCTGTGTCTTTGGAAGGAACTTTCTTTCAGAACAAATGTAGACATACACAAAAGTACAAAGTTTGCTGGTGGGTTAAGCTTTAACCTCATAGTTGTTTATTCACTCCAGAAAATAAATAGTGGCCATTCTGTAGGTCGGTAATCAGGCCCCCCTCTAGCCATTTTGGTGCCCTACGCAGCCCCTCTCGCCGCCCCCCCCTCCCCCGCGGAGGCGGCGCGGGGGGAGAGAGCCGGCCCCAGGCCTCCACGGCGGGGAAGCGCTGGCCACTTCCTGTGGGAAATGGAGTGACCCAGCCCCAGCCTGCTCCGCTCCCCTGGCTCCCAGGCTTGGGGGGCAGGGGGAACCAGCCCACAGCAGTCGCCAGCGGCGCGGCTGGGAGCCAGAGGAGCAGAGTAGGCTGGAGCCCAGTCGCTCCGCCGAGTGCAGCGAGCCCAACCCTGCTGCAGTCCTCAGGGGCAGCGCTGGAGCGGGGCCTGGGGCCAGGTGGAAGAGGCGGAGCAGGAGCTGGAGCAATACGCAGCTGTGTAGTTTCCTGGCGCCCTTCACAGCTCTGTACTTTGCGTAAGGGTGGGGACGGACCTGTCTGTAATCCACTTTGAAGCCTGGGGTCTTACCTGGTGCTGCTTGCTTTTAAATCCCAAAGTAAGTTGTTTTTTGCAAGTGATTGAGAGATGAGTGAGGGCTGTGTCTGGGTGTCTATGGCTCCTGTTTCTCCTGCTGTGAAATAATTTGATTTCATATTTGTCCTTGGTGCCTTTGGCTTTCTTTGAGCTAGGAAACTTAAGACCTAGATCTCTCCTCTGGTATGCCTCCCCTTGTGTCTGCTGTCATGCAGCTGTGTAGACAGGGCTCACCTTCTCAGAGAAGACGACACAGTGACAAAAACACCCAAGTCCTGTCTGTGCTACTGGCTCCAATGTTGCAACTATTACTGGAGTTGCTGTAGTGGAGAATTACAGGTCCCAGTCTTTTAGTGTAGAGTTAAACATGTCTGTCAGTGGGACAGGCCATATCTACTCTTGGAAGTTTGATTGAGTGATTTTGTCTACATAATCAATCTGTTTCTCTATGTCTGGAGCACACATTGTCATCATTTGGTCGACTTTCCAACCTGGTAGCTCACATCGTGGCTATCTGACCTGCTGGTTCCAATAAGGGTTGCAACTCCTAATTAACTGATATAGAAGGATAGCAGAGAGAGCTGGAGCACTCTCCTGGGTATTTTCAGAAAAATTAAATTGTAAACAATGCATTTATTCATAGTCTGAAGCGCCTCCATTTTCATTTGCACTGTAAAAGGTCTATTTTAACTAGGCCTGCAAAACTATTAGTAACAAATCATTTATTTAACAAATTTTGCTTCTTTTTCTGTTTTGTGAATTGTGAGGAAACACCTCACACTTATCTCATATTTTGTCATTATTTTCCAAATCATTTCTGTGAATAATTCTTGGTATGTAGTTTATTCACAATAGTTCATAGATTAATATAGTGCAAGGTCAGAAGGGACCACTGTGATCATCTAGACTGACCTGTATAACACAGGCCATAGAACTTCCCCAAAATAATTGCTAGAGCAGTTTTTTTTAGACAAGCATCCAGTCTTAATGTAAAAATTGCTATTGATGGAGAATCCACCATGACCCTTGATAAATTGCTCCAATAGTTAAATTTGCACCTTATTTGCCGTCTGAATTTGCTAGCTTCAATCTCCAGTCACTGGATTGCGTTATATCTTTGTAAGATTGAAGAGTGTGTTATCAAATATTTGTTCCCCATGTACGTACTTACATCTTCAAACTTTAGCAGTCATTATTTTCGTTTTCTTCCAGGTCGTTGATAAAAATATGAAATAGCATAGCAAGAATATAGCATAGCATAGCAAACAGAATAGCAAGAACTGATCCCTATGGGGCCCTACTAGAAACACACCCATTCAGTGATGATTACCTGTTTACAGTTACATTTTGAGACTTATAAGCCATTTTAAATTCATTTAATATGTGCTGCATCAGTTTTAAATCATACAAGTTTTAATCAAAATGTCATGCAATACCAAGTCAACACCTTACAGAAATCTGTTACATCAACCCTATTACCTTTATCAACCAAACTTGTATAATCTTACCAAAATAGAGATATCAAGTTAGTTTCAAAGGATCTGTTTTCGATATAAACCCATGTTGACTGGCAAGTATTTGATATTCAGTGTTCCTGCTGCTTTGACTGCAGTGTTATTTCTGTTCCCTGACTGGATGAAGTAATACTAAGAATCATATTTCCAGTGTGAACAGTTGCAACTACAATTTCAAAATTTTGTTTGTGTCAGTATTCTCCTGTAGTTGCTCCAAATGTTATACATTTGCCTTCACGCCTACTCATTTGCTACAATATTCACAGAAAGCAAATAGCAAAGGGACCTGGATTCATTACAAAAGTCAACTGAATATTTCTAGAAAATATTTGGCGGATTTCACCCAGCTCTAATTCTAACTATGAATTGGAACATAGTTTTGCGCTGCATTTATTCTGGAATGGGTTTAGATGCAGGTTTCTGTATTTACTCCTTTCAGAATTTTCTAGGCCAAATTCAGAAATGTTCTAAGTGAGGGTTGCATATTGGTGAATGTGTGTAGGGCCGGTATCATTTATAGAAGGGTGGAGAGGGACACTGGAAAATGAACAAGCAGGAGGATGTAAGAGAAAGGGCTGCTTTAATTTGCACCTTCTAACAGGCTCTTGTTGGGTGCTTTTCATACTACAGCCTCACCCTTCCACCTCCAGTGTATGTTCACTTACACCACCTACTAGTAGCAACATGTAACACAACTATCTATTGTTCTCTCTGAACTTAGCCCTATTCTCTGTTGCTGATTGTTTTTTCTGACAGCTGAACCTTGGAGAAGACAACATGGAGATAGAGACTGAGACAGAGAGATCATAAAATATAGGCTTCATTCTGCTTTCTGGCCATATCAGTAATGCTTTTTTGTAACACTGGGGCAGAAGATGATTTGCAGGATTTGCTTGAGGCCAAGTTAAGTAATCATTAACCTGGATAATCAGAACCTGGTAAAGCAGTAGCTAAGGTTAGACTATGTTCTGGTTTTAGCTATCTAAAAAAGATCAAGGGGCAAATTCTGCCGTCATTTGTGATCCTTTCATTCCCAAGTGGCATCCATGGGGTTGTACAGGTATAAAGAAGACAGAATTAGGCCCACTTAACACTGTGGCCGACATCAAAGAAAGTGATTTGAGTTGCTTGCAAAGTATTTCCCCTTAAAGACATATGATTACATAAAAAAAATCTAAGTTAAAAGAACAATAAGGTTGCAAAGTCAAGCACTCAAAAGTTAGGAAATGCCAGAATTAAGGTGGCCTATGCCATCTTAATTCAGCCCCCTGTGTGTAAGCATTATGATACAGTTTTTAATTATATGATCATATACTATTTTTTCCACTGCCTCATTCAGTGAACACAATGGACAGTGCTCACTTAATGAGCAGCTATTCATTAAATTAATTTTATCTTTATCATTGAATGTGTGGGCCTATGCGTTATTTAATGAACACCAGTCATACATTGCTCTTAATACAGAATTATTATTTCCTCAGGGACTTTTCCATAGTGCTCATCACTATGATATCAGTGCTTCACAAACATTAACACATTTATCTTCAGAACACTTCTAATATTGTTATTCCCATTTTACAGATGGGGAACTGAGGCACAGAGATATTATTGTCAAAAGCATCCACTTACTTTGAGCGCCAAATTGAGATGCCTATGGCCTGATTTTTCCTAGAACTTATCATTTTATCGCACTGTTCAGACTATAGCTCTCACTGATTTCAGTTGCAGCTCTGAGTGCTCAGCACTTCTGCAAATCAGACCCCTTCTGTTTCAATGTAAGCATCCAGAAAATGAAGAACACTCAATTAGTGGCCAACTGTAAAAATTTTGCTTTCATTGGATTCCACAGGAACTCTGTGGCAGGGGCAGGGATAGAATCTAATTCTCCAGAGCGGCATTCAACTGCCTTAACCATAAGACTGTCCTTTCTCTTTCTGCAATCCCCAACCTCATTCACTCACACCTTCCAGATTCTGCAACAATGAGGGAGGGGTTTTACAGGCAACAGTGTTCTTCTTTACACAGCTCTGATTCATTCTCTGAGCATGGTTCATCCTGTGCGCTAAATGAGGCAGGAATCCTGTGGGGGAAAAAACTAGTATTTGATCATGTAATTAAAGAGTGTATCATAATGCATACACACAAAGGAGCCAAATTATGGTGGCACAGGCAACTTTAACTGTGGCATTTCTTAACTTTTGAGTGAGTGATCTGCAGTCTTAATGGGATTTAAATGTATTTTTGTAAGTAATTTCCTAGTTTTTTTAAAAAAGCAAACTGAAAAAACCCCCAGAAATTCTATCATGTGGAACCATATTGATTCTCACATGGGTCATCTTCAGATTTCAGAATTTTAAATCCACAGCACAGCCCTCTACCACTTGAACTAAAAGAATAACTGATAGCAGTAGTAGGTTGACATTCTCTATGTGGGCCAGCAACGAGGGGGTGGGGGATGAGGCATACATTTTGGGTTACACAGATATTTGCTGACAGAAAAGGAATGATGAGGCCCAGGAATCCTAGGTTCCATTCCAGGTTCTGAGGGGAGTGTTCTCTAGTGATTAGAGACTTCTGTCCCTGTTCCCTGAAAACCAGGCCCCTTCTGCCCACCAATGCCTCCAGCCTGTCCTAGGACCAGCCCCAGTTATCCATCCCCCATCTCCTCATCCCTGTCCAGAGCCTTGCCCCCACAGGCCCCACCCATCAGTCCTCTGGGTCTTCATCGCAGTCTCCCCTTCATCACCACCCCAGTTCCTCACTTTCTGCATTACAGCTAGCAAGTACCTCCTCTTCCCTGCTGAGGCGCCAGTGGTGGATCAGTCTCCCAGCTCTCAGTTCCTGTGTCTGCTGCCTCAGCTGGCAAGGAGACAATTACAGGGAAAGTCCTTCAGGTCTGGGCTGGAGAATGCTCAGAGAAAACAAAATCCTCAGACACTCTGTCTCTACTGAGATGTGCAAACTGAAATTTTCAGTCTCATAACTTGGACAAATTTAGGTAGATATTCACAGTGAAGACACAGGACGTGTACCTTACATCAAGGACCTGCACCTTATTCCAAGTCCCTGGACCAAAGGACAGAGGTACTAGACCTTCTCAATGAAACAGTTATTCATGAGCAAAACAATGTATTTTCCCTAAGTGTGTTCTCAGAAATGACTGAACTGCTTTTGCTGAAATTTAAAACAACAAAAATCAAACAAAAACTCAGCCTGAGGTAGACACAAAGTATGGAAATTTCAATCCAAACCATTAAAGTCTGACAAAGTTAAAAACAGCTGAAAACAGGGTCTTATGAAAGAAGTGTCAGGCAACCTTAACCATTGGCAGCACTACCTGCGTCTCTTATAATTATGCAGCTGGGAGGAAATAGCTGTGTGGCCAACAGCTAGACCTGCAGATGTGCACTATAGAGCAATGCCCAGTGACAAGTGCCCAGTAAAAAATAATACGATAGGTGTAGCATGCACAGTATCTGCAAGGGGAATGTGGTACACAATAGATAACACATAGTACATATCACAGGCCAAATTCAGCCAGTAGTTCTACGCTACAACCTCACAGACTTCAGTGGTATTTCACAGAGTACAGAATTTTTCTCTTTATGCTTCAATTTCTGAAAGGATGAATATTCCAGCTTATGCAGTGATCCTACTATGCAGGAAGGAGTCTTGTCAGTACTTTGGTTGGAGACAACCAAGAAAAATCCCTAGACAGCTGCAGGAAGCAGTGTGCGTGACTGAAATTTGTTTGGTGAATGGTGGCCAATACAAAATGAGATAGTGGCATCTGAGACCATTTCAGATCTTGAAAGCCATCCTCGCCTTTAAACTCTAAGGCATTCTCAATAGATAGATTAGGGATAAGTGCCCTTCTCATTCCTGGAGGTCGCTCCATCATGGCAGAGATGTGGCACACTAGTTGGTCACTGTGGAGAAGCTGGAGCTGTAATTCTTCTGCAGACAGAGGATTGTAGAGCTGTCAATCCAAGACCAGCACTAAATTAAATTGAAGTGGATAAAAGAGAGAATGCTGACAAAGGGAATGCTCAGGGACCTCGTATCTACTCTGTGCTTGACATGTTATTCCTCTCTTCTCAGGTTCCAATAACCTTTCTCTAAAATGCCCATGATATGTTTGTCAGACTTTGAAGCTTATGCTAAGAAGCATCTGCCCAAGACCACTTGGGAATTTTTTGCAGGTGGAGCTGATGAGTGTTGCACCCGAGATGACAACCTCCTGGCATATAAAAGGTACAGAGAGCTCTTCTTTTGTGGGCAAAAATCTTTTAAGCTATGTTGGGATGCAAGTTCCTGGTGTTCTCAAGTGTCTAATACTCTCAACACCTATCCCTTATATAAATGACCACAGCAAAATGCACCTGAGTTACTTACAATGTAGCCTCTGGTGTTACCCAGCAGATGAAGGTAGGTAGCATGGAGCACAGTGGACTTGAGGGTGGGAATGGGCAGCAAGGGAGTGAAAGCAAGTGGCATGTTGTGTAGGTGAGAGGGTAAAGGGTGGGAGTGGCATAGAGTGTGGGGCATTGGGAGTATGAGGATGGAGTATGTAGCACAGGGGGCTGAGACTTGGGGGCAAATTGCATGGATAGTGAGAATGGGCAGTGTTCAGGCTGATGATATGGGTATAGCAATCTGAAGGTTTTTGATGTAAGGGAAGAGAGATGGAATCCGACAGCAAGTAGCAAAAGTGCAGATGTGTATGCCATGGGATACATGGAAGGCAAATGACGGAGCAAGGATCATTTGAGTGGGTGGTTTTCATGTTCTGGGATGCTATTCAGACCAGTGAGGGGTGGTATCACCACTTTCCCTGTAACTCTGAGTGCTTTAAATGCTCTGTTGCTGAAGCTCTCTGTCTGGGATGCTCACAGTTAGCAACAAGCATGCCCTCTGTCTGTTTGCTGTGCAACCCTGATACAGCAGCAGTTTGCCTTCTGCAGCAACACAGTCACTCCCTGGTTTCCACCAGCTTTAGTTGCACCTGGTAATTTGACCCCAGCATCCACCCCATCCCAAATTTTCCTGAAACCATGTGCTCTGCAATGTGCAGACCTTTCCTGGACCATTCAGAGGAATAAGATTTGTTTGTTCCTCTAAACAGACAAAACACACAGTGTATCACTTTAACTGGAGTTAATCACTTCAATGCACACACAGCACTGGGATGGTTTGGTTTAAAAGTAAAACAAATGTATTGACCAAAGGGGAGAGATTTTAAGTGATACCAAGTTGAAAGAATTAAGTTAGAAAGGGTTAAAAACAAACAAAAATAAAAATACACTTTCTAGTTAACAAAACTGTGGTCTTGGTTCAAAGTAAGATTCTTACCAGACTTCCTTCCAGCATAGGTGCTGGAACTAGGGGTGCAGGGAGGTGCAGCAGCACCCCCTGGCTTGAAGTGTTTCCATTATATACAGGGTTTACAGTTTGGTTCAGTGGCTCACTATAAAAATTGTTCCAGGACCCCTGTCTTCCAGCAAGATGGCCAACCACCTCCTTTGGTCAGAATCTCCCAAAAAGTCTGAAGTGCTCAGTTCCTTTGTCGTCTTAGGTGAAAGTTCTTTGCCCTACTTTTTATATCTTTTTTTCCTTTGAAAGGGATTCAGCTGAAGGTTACCCCTCAAAATAAAGTTCATTAAAGCTGTGAGGAAGGAGCTATGGAGTCTGGTGATGAAGGAAGTTCCATGCTGGGGTCTTCCCCTACTAGTGTTCACTATAATGCAAACTGATCTGTTCCTTCCCCATCCAATGCAAATGAATGGCCACTAGACATGTGATAGCCAATTGATTCTGACAACACCTCACTGGAGGGTTGGCTTGTCCTTTGTCTGGGAGAAACCTGTTTACTCACTCCACAGATTTATCTGGTAAACACATTTTAATCTCACATTTCCTCCACATTTGTATAGTCCCTTGGGGTGTTTACTGTATATACACCGCACAAGGATATTAATGATCAGTGTGTTGTTACTAGTTTTCTATTGATATCTTACATGACACATATCAGCTATGGTTTATTACCTTAATGAATTGGGGTACACTGAATTGGTGACACCAGTGGAAACTGTCTACCATATATCAGGGTGCTTCTTGCCCTCTGGCATTGGGGTGCTCTTAGGTTACAGTGGTACAGAGAATGATGGCAGATAGTTCAAGAGCAGATGGTATGGGGTTTACAGGTAGGTGGCAATGACTGTGAGGAGAGTCATGTTGGGGGTGAAAGTAAGTACCAATGAGGGGGTGGAGTTCTCAACAGGCAATGGCCCCTGGCTTTTCCTGATTGGGTCAGACTAGTGTGTGATAACATATAAATGAAGATCCATTGATCAGGGAAGATCGCAAGCATTAAAACCACCAGGCTGCTACCTTGTTGACTGGCATGTCATCTTTGTCTTCTTGCAGAATCCGCTTCCGGCCACGCATGTTGCGGGATATGTCTGTGATAGACACTAGGACTATTCTTCTAGGGACTGAAATCAGCTTCCCTGTAGGGATTGCTCCCACCGGTTTCCACCGGCTGGCTTGGTCCGATGGAGAGAAGAGCACAGCAAGAGGTACCCTGTGATTTCATTCTGTAAAACAAAAGAGGACATATTAAAAACCTGTTAGAAACTGTGAGCAATTCTGATGGCATTTTAATGTGTGGCCAACCCCCTGAAAAGCCAATCTGTAAGAATGACACTGAAGTGCCATGTTTTAGAGCCAGATTCTTTTCCTGACCTACTCCTCTCTCCCTTGTGATGCTCTGGAGGCACAAAGCAGCTGGAAAACCACATACAGTCACAGTGCTGCAGCACTGTAGTTATCCCCAGCTACCAGAACAGCCTCTTGGGGGCTGCTGTAACTTAAAGAAGCCCTGAAGCTATTCCTACTTGTGCCAGGGACCAGACTGGCCCCCTTTTGGCCCCAGGATTGGAGGGGGGGTGACATACAGCATTCAGCCTGTACAGTCCATACATACTTTATAAAATATGGATGAAAGATCTTGTATTGGGGGTTATTAGCTGGCATTCCCATTGTACCCAGGCAAAATTGGTGAGGAAGCTTCAGCACCTCGTACTGAGGCTTTTTTAAATATCTCCTGCAGCAGCTGAAGCCATGAACACCTGTTACATCACCAGCACATACTCCACCTGCACGGTGGAGGAGATTGCTGCAGCTGCACCCAATGGCTTCCGATGGTTCCAGCTGTACATTCATCGCAACAGGGCACTCTCAGAGGGACTGATCCGACGTGCAGAGGCCGCGGGTTTTCAAGGCCTGGTGCTCACTGCCGATCTTCCCTACCTTGGGAAGAGACGAGACGACATCCGCAACAACTTCCAGCTCCCACCGCACATGACAGTGAAGAACTTTGAAGGAGTTTTTGAGGTTTGGGAAATGATTTGTGTGTGTGAGAGAGAGAGAGAGCGAGAGAGAGCAAGCAGATGGGAGCCTCACTGGCCAGAGGCAACCCCTGCCTGCCGATAGTGGGCGAGGAGGCAGAGTGAGGGCAGCCGGCTTCAGCAGTGTTACTGAGCATGCTCAGTCCATGTGAGCATGCTCAGTACAAGCCAAGCAACATATCTGGGGGGATGGGAGGGCTTGTGAATACATATGTCTCCCTCACACACACACACACAAAATATCACCTTTGCCACTGGACTACAAAAATAGTTCTTAGCCTTTTTGGATACATGTTACCATTTGCCAAACTCAGGCCTGGTCTATGCTTAAAAGAGTTACTGTTATAAATACTTCAGTGAGGGGATGTGATGTTGTTACTAGTGTGAATGCAGTTATACCAGTATAATGGTGACTCATACTAGTATAGTTATTCCCCTTTTCATATGGGAATAGCTTTATTAGTAGATGCACCTTTATACCAATATAACCGCACCCATGCTGGTGGCAGTGGTGAGGGGGCATGTCACACTGCTTTAATTATATTAATATAGTTAAAGTGGTACAGTTTTTGTGTATAGACAAGCACTAAGACCTCAGCTGTACTAGCCAGTGCTCACCACCTTTCATTCATCTGTGCCTGCTGACCTCAGCTGTACTAGCCAGTGCTCACCACCTTTCATTCATCTGTGCCTGCTCTAAATTCTGGTGGAGCTTGGGTTCCTCTAAAGCCTGGCCTCACTCTCAGAGCTCTGCTGATGGTTACAGCAGTCACAACTGAATGGGAGGTGAGCTCTAAATCCGTCTAATGCCCCTGAAGTCACTTTGTTCAACAGCTCAGGTGCCTTTGCAGGAAAAGATTGACAACTGTTCGGCACAAAGTCCTCTGGTCAGACATTTTCCTTTCAAATGGTTGGATGACAATCTGTTTTGATTTGACCAAATGTTTAAAATCATACTCTGTATATGCACAAGAATATTTTAATAGTGCTCCCCCTATTTTCTATTGCAGATCTAACAAAATTGTGTGTGTGGAGATTTCACTAAAAGGCTTTGAAACACCGGGCCAGGTTATCGGCTGCTGTAAATCTGTGGCACTCCATTGGTTTTAATTGAGCTACATTGATTTACAACAGATAAGAATCTGGTCTCCCTTTTCTAATTCAGGGTGCTCATGTATATTGACTGAGGCAGGGCTTCAAAGCATAGGCACCGACTTACAAGTTGCCAGGGGGTGCTCGACCCCTGTTCCGCCACAGGCCCCACCCCCACTCCACCCTTCACCTAGGCCCCCACCCCCGCCTCACCTCTTCCAGATGATCTGGGATGGGTGGGAGGCACTAGGAGGGAAGGGGAGGAGCTGCTCGGCAGGGCTGCTGGCAGGCAGGAGGTGCTGGGGTGGCTGACTGACCCCCGGGGCTATCAGTAGGTGCTGAGCACCCACTATTTTTTTCCATGGGTGCGCCAGCCCCGGAGCACCTTCAGAGTCGGCGCCTATGCTTCAAAGTAGCTTGGCTTAATTCCATTCACTTTTTCAGGCTCTGCATCAGCAAGCAGTCATGGGATAAGGGGGGGAAGGTTCTCTCATGGACTGGTAACTGGTTAAACAATAGGAAACAAAGGGTAGGAATAATAGTCAGTTTTCAGAATGGAGAGAGGTAAATAGTGGTGTCCCCCAGGGGTCTGTACTGGGCCCAGTCCTATTTAACATATTCATAAACAATCTGGAAATAGGGTAAACAGTGAGTGCAAAATTTGCAGGTGATACAAAAGTACTCAAGATAGTTAAGTCCCAGGCAGACTGCAAAGAGCTACAAAAGGATCTCTCAAAACTAGGTGGCTGGGCAACAAAATGGCAGATGAAATTCAGTGCTGATAAATGCAAAGTAATGCACACTGGAAAACATAATCCTAACTATACATATAAAATGATGGGGTCTAAATTAGCTGTTACCATTCAAGAAGGAGATCTTGGAGTCATTGTGGGTAGTTCTCTGAAAAACATCCGCTCAATGTGCAGCGGCAGGCAAAAAGGCGAACAGAATGTTGGGAATCATTAAGAAAGGGATAGATAATAAGACAGAAAGTATCACATTGCCTCTATATAAATCCATGGTACGCCCACATCTTGAATATTGTGTGCAGATGTCACCTCATCTCAAAGAAGATATATTGGAAGGGGGAAAGGTTCAGAAAAGGTCAACAAAAATGATTAGAGGTATGGAGCATCTGCCATATAAGGAGAGATTAACAAGACTGGGCCTTTCAGCTTGGAAAAAAGATGACTAAGGGGGATATGATAGAGATCTATAAAATCATGACTGATGTGGAGAAAGTAAATAAGAAAGTGTTATTAACTCCTTCTCATAACACTAGAACAAGGGGTCATCAAATGAAATTAATAGGCAGCAGATTTAAAACAAACAAAAGGAAGTATTTTTTCACACAACACACAGTCAACCTGTGGCACTCCTTGCCAGAGTATGTTGTGAAGGCCAAGACTATATCAGGGTTCAAAAAAGAACTAGATAAATTCATGGAGGATAGGTCCATCAATGCTATTAGCCAGGATGGGCAGGGATGGTGTCCCTAGCATCTGTTTGCCAGAAGCTGGGAATGGGTGACAGGGGATGGATCACTTGATGATTACCTGTTCTGTTCATTTCCCCTGAAGCACCTGGCACTGGCCACTGTCGTAAGACAGGATACTGGGCTAGATGGACCTTTGATCTGACCCAGTATGGCTGTTCTTATGTTAAGCCAGGATTCAAAATAGTGCCTCATTGAAAGCACAATGTGAGAACTGAGTGAGGCATGATTCTGCAGGAGTCCTTTGTTTCATTTTTAATAAACTAGTAATTCCATCAAGAAAATGGCACTAAAAGCACTCATAAATCAGGAAATGCCAAAGTGACAGTTGGTTATGTGAATGTATTGTGATACCGTCTTCGTTTACATGCTACTCTTTCTGCGGATCTGAGTGGCACACACTGAATAAGGCAAGGTACAGAATGAGTGAGAAATGTTCTGTGGATCTGGGCCTGGTTTGTGGCCCAGTTGTTTCTGTACTTACCACAGCGTAATTCCTGAGTATGCATTACAGTCCATGCACTTACTCTCAGTCTAAACCAGTGTAACTGAGAGTACCTTTAAGGTTAATGGCAGGATGGATGATATGTAGCAAATAGGCAAGTTGCATAAATCAGAGCTGTATGGCTATGGGTAGCCTTCCCTTTTGTATCTGCTGCTTTCTCATCTTGTTTTAAAATAGAGTGAATGGAAAGGAGACCTGCCTTGGCCTCCATCACACCAGACAGTTTATGTTGCTGTCTAAAGAAGCCCAATGATCTTATTTGCAGGAAAAAAAAAACATTTTGACAACTGCTGTATCAAGGGCATCTCCCGTCCTGTTTCTGCTCTGCAATGTCCTCGTTTGCACTCCTGCCTTCCAATACCTTGGCTTTGACATCTCAGCCTACATCCCTCGGAGATTCTTCTTTCCATATCCATTCCCCGTAATAATTGTTGTCCTCCAGAGACATACCCTTTACAAAGCCAGTTGATGGAACTGTTATGAAGTCTATTAATGTCTTCTGTGGTAGGGAAAGAGTTTGAGGGATTTTATTTTATTTTTATTTTTATTTATATAATAATATATTATATTTATTTATTTATTTATTTATTATAAACCTGTAATGTAATTTCCTTCTACTCCATGGCTTCAGGAAGAGAGTTGTTCTGAGTATGGCCTCCCGCCTAACTCCATAGACCCTTCTATAAACTGGAATGACATCTATTGGCTGCAGAGCCTGACTCGCTTGCCTATCATTGTCAAGGGAATTTTGACAAAGGAAGATGCAGATCTGGCAATGAGACATGGAGTTCAGGGGATTATTGTCTCCAACCATGGTGGAAGGCAGCTGGATGGAGGACCTGCCACTGTAAGTGAAAAGCTGTAATCTGTTGTCATAGGCATGCACGTGTGTCCTGACATAGGTAACTGTGTGTTTACATTCATATACATAGCTGTGGTATACCTGCACATACATTTGCATGCCTGTGTGTACTGTAGCAAAGATGAAGTAAAGAGCAGAAAATATAGAGATGAGGGTACAATACGGTCTCAGCACCTAATTCTGCTGAGACACAGACCCATTGAATTTAGTGGGAACTGCCTGCAAATATTTGCAGCATTAGATTTTAATGGAATGGAAATTTATAGTCCCTTAAACCCCAGAGTAAAGATAATTTATGTAGCAAAAATCTCCCTGATATCCAGCTCTGCAAATTAATCACTGGGTGTTTGAATGTTTGCATCCACCCATGTTTCTTCCCATCTTTTTTCTGTTTCTTTTATCCATGTTATTTTTGCATATTGTCACATCTGTGTTTTATTGTGACCTATTCACTTTACTATTTTTACTGACTTTTCTGTCATTTGCTTTACAAAATACGACACAATAATCCAGGGAATTCCATGAAAACACTACTTTGATGCAATGACAAGGATGAGGCTGGTCCCAAGATCCCTATACTCCAGGCTCCCCGGTTCCCATTACCCAGCATGTCCAGCGCTCTGCTGCCATCCCGCTGCCTGGAGACACTGGGCTGCACCCACTGCCATGTGCTCCTCAGGAGCTCTCACCAGATAGCATCTGCCTGGCTGAGAACCAACTTAGCCTCTTCCGGGGCAGCCTGAGCACCCCTAGCTTTGAGGCTGTTTGCTGCAGAGACTGAACGCAGGAGATGGGGGAACTGGTGAGAGGAAGGTTCTGCTAGGAGAACGGGGGTCTGGGTATGGGAGATGGGGACTCTGCTACAGGGAGACAGGCCAGAAAGGGGGAGTTGCCCTGGATAGAGAGCAGGGTCTGGGTAGGAAGAAGGGAGGGAGGTGATAGCACTGCTTGGGGGCTGCTGGGGAGGCAGGGAAATTCTGATGCCAACCCAAGGTTGGGTGCTCTGCTGGGGAGATGGGGGCTAGGAATGGGGCTGTCCCAGAGCCTGGCTCTGGCTGCTCTTTGAAGGGCCAGGTGATGGATTCCCCTTGTCCAGCAGCCCTGGCCTCCCCAACACACTGTGGGACTGAGAAGCTGTTCCCAACTAAGGACCCCACACCCAGAGTTGAACCCATGGGATCCATGCACTCCTTCTCCACAGGCCCCTGCCCCTCTGCCCTAGCAACTGAGCCCCCTCCTCAGGGAAGGGGTTGTGGAGCATGTGGGGACTCTTCCGAATTCAGCACCGTCTGGGTCCCCTCTGTTCCAAGGAGGCACCCATAGGACATGAATATCCAAAGGGCATACAGCCAAAAGAAACAAAGCTATGAGAACCTCTGTTCTACTATACTTCCAACCACTGCTATGGCTCCAGGCAAGGTCTGTCACGCCTTCTGCTGCCCCAATGAACCAGCAGATATCAAACTTAGAAAACTTCAGGCTGAAACTTTGACAAAATTATAAGCAACTGAAAAGATTACTCTAGCAAATGTAACTGTAACTATTATAATTACAATACATAAGGAGACCAGAGAAGGGAAACTGAGAGATCAACAGACAAGTGCCTTCTAAAGATAAGATTGAGACAGTAGCCAAGGTGATTGGGGGGAAAAAAACATGCCTTTGTTATCAATTTTTGCCCAAACTTCTTCAACCCCCTCTTATTGGCCCTCCCTCCAAAATTTCTATGGATAGAAATTCCATGCTTGAATAATGAGTATAGAAGTAGGAATAGACTACCAACCACCCAACCAGGATGGTGATGGTGATCGTGAAATGCTCAAGGAGATTAGAGAGGCTACAGAAACAGAAAACCCAATAATAATGGGGGATTTCAACTCTCTCCCTGTTGACTGGGTACATGTCACCTCAGAATGAGATGCAGAGATAAAATTTCTAGATACAGTTAATAACTGCTTCTTGGAACAGCTAGTCCTGGAACTCACAAGGGGAGAGGCAATTCTTGATTTATTCCTGAGTGGTGCATAGGATCTGGTCCGAGATGTGAATATAGCTGAACCATTGGTAACAGCAACCATAATGTGGTTAACTTTAACATCTTCGTAGGGAGAAAAATACCAAAGAAACCCACCCCAGTAGCATTTAACTTCAAAAAGGGGAACTACAAAAAAAGGAGGAAGTTAGTTAAATGGAAATTAAAAGGAACAGTCACAAGTGTGAAATAACTGCAAGCTGCATGGATACTTTTTAAAAACACCAAAATAGAGGCTCACACTATATGTATACCCCAAATTAAAAGAAACAGCAAGAGGACCAAAAAATGCCACCCATGGCTAAACAACAGAGTAAAAGAGGAGTCTAGCGAGAATAAGACATCCATTAAGAATTGGAAGTGAAATCTTACTGAGCAAAATATAAAGGAACATAAACTCTGGCACATCAAGTGTAAAAGTACAATTAGGCAGGCCAAAAAAGAATTTGAAGAGCTCTTTGCAAAAGACACAAAAACTAACAGCAACAACAGTTTAAGTACATCAGAAGCAGGAAGACTGTCAAACAATCAGTGGAGTCAGTGGACAATGGATGTGCTAAAGGACCACTCAAGATAGACAAGGCTGTTGCAGAGAAGCTAATTGCATTATTTGCATCAATCTTCACTGCAGAGGATATGGGGGAGATTCCCATATCCAAACCATTCTTTTTAGGTGACAAATCTGAGGAACTGTCCCTGGCTGAGATGTTAATAGAGGAGATTTTGGAGCAAAATTGATAAATTAAAAAGTAATAAGTTATCAGGACCAGATGGTATTCACCCAAGAGTTCTGAAAGAACTGAAATAAGAAATTGCATACCCTCTGGTATGCAACCTAGCACTTAAATCAGCTTCTGTACCAGATGACTGGAGGATATCAAATGCAATGCCGATCTTTTAAAAAGTCTCCAGAGGTGATCCTGGCAATTACAGGCCGGTAAGCTTAATTTCAGCACAGGCAGATTAGTTGAAACTATAGTGAAGAACAGAATTATCAGACAGATAGACAAGCACAATATGTTGGGGAAGAGTCAACACAGCTTTTGTAAAGGGAAATCATGCCTCCCCAATCTATTAGAATTCTTTGAAGGGGTCAACAAGCATGTGGATAAGGCTGATCTAGTGGATATAGAGTAGTTACACTTTCAGAAAGCCTTTGACGTGCTCCCTCACCAAAGGCTCCTAAGCAAAGTAAGCAGTCATGGGTCCTCTCAACTGGTTAAAAGATAGAAACAATAGGTGGGAACAAATGGTCAGATTTCACAGTGGAGAGAGGTAAATAAAAGTGTCCCATTCCCCCCACCCCAACCCCAAGGATCTGTCCTGAAAACAGTGCTATTCAACGTATTCATAAACGATCTGGAAAAATGGGTAAACAGGTGGCAAAGTTTGCAGAGGATACAAACTTACTCAAGATAGTTAAGTCCAAAACTGACTGTGAAGAGTTACAAAGGGATTTCACAAAACTGGGTGACAGGGCAACAAAATGGCAAATGAATTTCAAGGTTGATAAATGCAAAGTAATGAACGCTGGAAAACATAATCCGAACTATACATACAAAATGATGTGGTCTAAATTACCCGTACTACTCAAGAAAGATCTTGGAGTCATCATGGATAGTTCTCGGAAATCATCTGTTCAGTGTGTCGCGGGAGTCAAATAAGCTAACAGAATGTTAGGAACCATGAAGAAAGATATAGACATTAAGACAGAAAATATCATAATACCACACTATATGAATGCACACCTTGAGCACTGCCTGCAGTTCTTGTCGCCCTATCTCAAAAAATATATTAGAATTCGGAATGATGCAGAGAAGGGCAATAAAAATTATGAGGGGCGTGGAACAGCTTCCATACAAGGAGAGATTTAAAAGGCTGGGACTCTTCATCTTAGAAAAGAGACAATTATGGAGAGATATGATAGAAATCTATAAAATGATACCTGGTGGGGAGAAAGTGAATAAGGAACTATTATTTACTCCTTCACATAATACAAGAACCAGAGGTCATCCAATGAAATTAATAGGTAGCAGGTTTAAAACAAACATAATACTTCTGCACAGTCAATCTTTGGAATTTATTGCCATGAGATGTTGTGAGAGCCAAAAGTATAATTGTATTAAAAAAGCATGAGATAAGTTCATGGAGGCTAGGTCCACCAATAGTTATTACCCAAGACATTCAGAGTCTGCAACCCCATGCTCTGGGTGTCCCTGGACCTCTGACTGCCAGAAGCTGGGACTGGATGTAGGGAATGGATCTCTCTATAATTGCCCTGTTCTGTTCATTCCCTCAGGAGCATCTGGCACCGGCCACTGTTGGAAGGCAGGATACTGGGCTAGATGGACCATTGGTCAGACACAGTATGGCCATTCTTGTATTCAGAATGCTGCTGCCAAAATTGTCTTCCTCTGATCATGTTATTCCCCTGTTTGAATCCCGCTGTTGGCTCCCCTTTATCTTTCACAAAACTTCATCCTTCAGAAATTCATTTTCAAGGCACCTCACAACTCCACTCTGCTTATTTCTCTGCTCTCATGTCTTTCAAGCCATATTCCCTTCACTCTGTACAAGCATCCACCTTGCATCTTCCCTTTGTATCCTTCTCTCCCTCCTGTTTCCATGCTGTCTTTCATGCCAGAACCAGTCCCTTCTATTCTTGTGGAGCAAATGACCATCATTGAAATCTCTACTTGAAATTAATTTCCCCAGAGTCTTTCAGGGGTACAAATCCTCAACAACATCAAAAGGGAAAAGGGAAGAATTTAAAACAAACTAAAGATCTTCAACATCTTTGTTCTGCACCTTAAGTAGGGCAGCGAGTGTTTCTATGGCACATTCTACTGTATGTACTCATACAGTACGTACTAGGCCATGGTGGGTACACTGTCAATGCTCATTAAATAGTGGAACTAGTTGAAAATTTTCAAATAAACCTGTTTTTGCTGAAAAATTCCCTTTTTTCTCCCTCAGATTTTTTTTTACAAATATTTTTATCTTTTATCATTTATTTTCTATTTTCAAAACAAGAAATTTTCAAAAATGGTTTCTTTTTACATTTTTAATTTTGGGGGGAAGAACCTGCATGCCATGTGACCAAAAATGCAATTTAAAAGTATTTCAAAAATGGAAAACAACAAAAATGTCCCACTATTCACTTTGTTATTTTTGTGTTTGTTTTGTTTTTTTAATCAGCAATAACAAATAAATCAAGTAATCATAACATGTTCATGACACTAGAAACTGGGATAAACGATTTGGCAAGTAGACTGGAGGACTGCATTTTTTTCTACAATTTAGAAACACATATATGGCATTTTGTATTATGAGGTGCATCATTAAATTTCAGTTTAAAAGAGCATAAGCAGTAATAGAAGGTCTTACATGTTTGTACCCCCCCCCCCTTCTCTTCTTATATCTTTCTCTAAGAATCAAAGGCTGAATTCTATGTAAAAGTATCTGTTTCTTTTCAGATTGATTCTCTGATTGAAATTGTAGACACAGTGCAAGATAGAGTTGAAGTTTATTTAGATGGTGGAATACGAACAGGAAGTGATGTATTAAAGGCACTGGCACTTGGAGCAAAATGTATCTTCATTGGAAGGCCAGCTTTATGGGGTCTGACCTACAAGGTGAATGAGGAAATGTGGGGTTTGTACATGCACTCATTCTCATATGCACAAACACTGGGTTACTGACAGAGCTGGTAGTGATATTTTTTCCTCTGAAAAAATTAAACAAAAATGAAATATTTTTAATTTTCATTGTAAAGTTTCTCTGAAAAATGTCAGGCTTTTGTTTTTTCAATGGAAACCCAAAACATTTACTCAAAACCAAATATTTCGCACAGAATTACCAGTTTTGACAAAAATGCCATTTTCTGTCAATGGACATTTCTCTGGAAACTTTTTCACCAGCTCTAGTTACTGATAAAGGAAGAAGTTGCAGATAAGCAGTGTTTACCCTGAGTAAAAGACTCCAACTCTCCAGATGGTAGGTTACCTTGCTCTGTGACATAACTTTCCCAACTCTTGTGAGGAGTCTTGTGATTATTGAGAATTTCAGGGGTTTTTTAAAGTACATTTATAGCGCTCATGGCTATGAAGAGTGGTATGAAAATGTAAAATCTAAAGAGTCAAAAACCAAAAAAGAAAAAGAAAAAAACTAAAATGTATTTATAAAAAAAATCATGACTTTTAAGCCAATCATATGATTTTGGTGGGTCTGCCTCATGATATATGAATGCCTGAGGTTGGCAGTACTGGTGATATAGAGACAGGTCTCCTCATTCAGCTATAAAGTTTAATAGCTCCATATTTAGATACATTTAGGTTCATTTTGCCAAATATTTGTACCTGCTGAAACTGGTGGCATTGTAGTGTGGTGAAACATTTTGATGTTAAAGAGACAGTGAGTGCTAGATTTTGAAAGGTACAATATTTTGGCACCGAAAGATGGTGCCTATTGGGGTTTTACAAAGTGCTTAAGTCACTTTGATAAATAGGACTTAGGTTCCTAAGTCACTTAGATTTTTTTTAATTTACCCAGGGTCACCTTACATTTTTTAAAAATTAAGTAACAAACAATCCAAGTTTTTGGTAAAGTATCCATTGTATAGCATGTCATGAAACCTTTTCTAAAACCACTGCTTTGTGCTACCGTGTTGAAGTTTAAAAGGGTCTTTTGGGCGGGATCAACTACACTATCTTTCCTGTATGTGCTCAGGCCTGCTACCATTTCTATTCCAGTGTCAGTTTTGCTGCTCCAGCAATACTATCAAACTCAAGCATTCAAAAACATTGAGCAGACCCCAAAAATCATAAAACTGGCTTAAATCATGAGATTTTGAAAAAATCTAGTAAAAACTGGGCTCTTTTTATTTGTCTTCTGGCTTTTGAACCTTTTGGGTTCACGTTTGCACAATCATGAGGGCTGGAAACATTTTTTCCTTTAAATGAAATCTAAGATTGTGATACAGTGTTGTGTTTCTAGCTACTGGGGCTTTCAGAAAAATAGCAGACTTGTGATAAACTTGCAAGAATTGGGAGCACTGCTTCTGTTGCCAGTAAATACTCTCTTAAAGGGATGTGGAAAAGGGTGTTGGTGAGCTCCGCGCCCCCCTCCCAGGCACTACATAAGAGTAACAGGTGGGATTTTCAGATTTGCCTCAGGAGTTAGGCACCCAACTCCCACTGACGGGGAATGTGTGTTGGGTGCCTTGCTTCCCTAAAGTGCTTCTGAAGATCTCACTCAATGCAATTTTCTAGTGTATGAGACAGAAAATGTAAATGACGATCAATTAAAGAGAGACATTAACATCAAGTACTGTGAAATATAAACAGAAATTAGAGAAAAATAATTTTCTCTGATACCTTTCAGTTATGGTGATATAGAACAGTATAGAAAAAATAGGTGGACAAAATGTTCAAATGGAAATGTGATTCTCAAGTTGTTGGCACCACATTTACAGAAGAAAATGTACACTACACTATTTTTAGTATCCATAACTTTTATCTGAAAAACCTATATCTTCCAAAATGTAAAGTGCTCAAGACCTTATTGAGCACCCAACCACTCCACCCCAGTAGACAGCCCAAGCAACAGAAGGCTGTCATTCAAGAAGTTTTAAAGTGGCCTTTTTCTTCCCTCCTACCCTCCTCCCTCACCCCACCCAGGCTACCTTGTGAGTTATCTCCCTATTTTTATAATCAATTAATAAAGAATACATGTTTTTTAAATGATAGTGACTTTATTTCCTTTGCAAGCAAGCTGTGATCGAAGGGAGGAGGGCAGACGGCTTACAGGGAATTTAGAGGCAACCAAGGGGGCGGGTTTTCAGCCTCCCACCCTGCCATAAACGTCTCCCCCTTACTGTCACAGAAATTGTGGACCACACAGCAAGCAGCAATAACAATGGGAATATTGGTTTCGCTGTGGTCTGAGTGAGTTAGTAAACTGCTCCAGCGACCCTTTAAATGTCCAAATGCACGCACTACCACCGTTCTACACTTGCTCAGCTTATAGTTGAACAGATCCTTGCTACTGTCCAGGGTGCCTGTGTACGGCTTCATGAGCCAGGGCATTAAGGGGTAGGCTGGGTCCCCAATGATAACTATAGGCATTTCAACATCCCCAACAGTTATTTTCTGGTCTGGGAAGTAAATCCCTTCCTTCAGCCATTTAAACAGACCAGAGTTCCCTGAAGACGTGAGCGTCATGAACCTTTCCCAGCCATCCCACATTGATGTTGGTGAAACGTCCCTTGTGATCCACCAGTGCTTGCAGCACCATTGAAAAGTACCCCTTGCGGTTTATGTACTGGCTGCCCTAGTGGTCCGGTCCCAAGACAGGGATATGCGCTCCATCTACAGCCCCACCACAGTTAGGGAATCCCATTGCAGCAAAGCCATCCATAGAATCATAGAATATCAGAGTTGGAAGGGACCTCTGGAGGTCATCTAGTCCAACCCCCTGCCCAGAGCAGGACCAATCCCAACTAAATCATCCCAGCCACAGCTTTGTCAAGCCTGACCTTAAAAACTTCTAAGGAAGGGGATCCACCACCTCCCTAGGTAACGCATTCCAGTGTTTCACCACCCTCCTAGTGAAAAAGTTTTTCCTAATATCCAACCTAAATCCCCCCCACTGCAACTTGAGACCATTACTCCTTGTCCTGTCATCTGCTATCACTTAGAATAGTCTAGATCCATCTTCTTTGGAACCCCCTTTCAGGTAGTTGAAAGCAGCTATCAAATCCCCCCTCATTCTTCTCTTCCGTAGACTAAACAATCCCAGTTCCCTCAGCCTCTCCTCATAAGTCATGCGTTCCAGACCCCTAATCATTTTTGTTGCCCTTCGCTAGACTCTCTCCAATTTTTCCACATCCTTCTTGTAGTGTGGGGCCCAAAACTGGACACAGTACTCCAGATGAGGCCTCACCAATGTCGAATAGAGGGGAACGATCACATCCCTCGATCTGCTCGCTATGCCCCTACTTATACAACCCAAAATGCCATTGGCCTTCTTGGCAACAAGGGCACACTGTTGACTGATATCCAGCTTCTCGTCCACTGTCACCCCTAGGTCCTTCTCTGCAGAACTGCTGCCTAGCCATTCGGTCCCTAGTCTGTAGCGGTGCATTGGATTCTTCCATCCTAAGTGCAGGACTCTGCACTTGTCCTTGTTGAACCTCATCAGATTTCTTTTGGCCCAATCCTCCAATTTGTCTAGGTCCCTCTGTATCCTATCCCTACCCTCCAGCATATCTACCACTCCTCTCAGTTTAGTGTCATCCGCAAACTTGCTGAAGGTGCAATCCACACCATCCTCCAGATCATTAATGAAGATATTGAACAAAACTGGCCGCAGGACCGACCCTTGGGGCACTCCGCTAGATACCGGCTGCCAACTAGACATGGAGCCATTGATCACTACCCGTTGAGCCCGACAATCTAGCCAACTTTCTACCCACCTTGTAGTGCATCCATCCAGCCCATATTTCTTTAACTTGCTGACAAGAATACTGTGGGAGACCGTGTCAAAAGCTTTGCTAAAGTCATGGAACAACATGTCCACTGCTTTCCCCTCATCCACAGAGCCAGTTATCTCGTCATAGAAGGCAATTAGATTAGTCAGGCATGATTTGCCCTTGGTGAATCCATGCTGACTGTTCCTGATCACTTTCCTCTCCTCTAAGTGCTTCAGAATTGATTCCTTGAGGACCTGCTCCATGATTTTTCCAGGGATTGAGGTGAGGCTGACTGGCCTGTAGTTCCCAGGATCCTCCTTCTTCCCTTTTTTAAAGATGGGCACTACATTAGCCTTTTTCCAGTCATCCGGGACCTCCCTCTATCGCCATGAGTTTTCAAAGATAATGGCCAATGGCTCTGCAATCACATCTGCCAATTCCTTTAGGACTCTCAGATGCAACACATCCGGCCCCATGGACTTGTGCTCGTCCAGCTTTTCTAAAAAGTCCCGAAGCACTTCTTTCTCCACAGAGGGCTGGTCACCTCCTCCCCATGCTGTGCTGCCCAGTGCAGTAGTCTAGGAGCTGACCTTGTTCGTGAAGACAGAGGCAAAAAAAGCATTGAGGACATTAGCTTTTTCCACATCCTCTGTCACTAGGTTGCCTCCCTCATTCAGTAAGGGGCCCACACTTTCCTTGGCTTTCTTCTTGTTGCCAACATACCTGAAGAAACCCTTCTTGTTACTCTTAACATCTCTCGCTAGCTGCAACTCCAGGTGTGATTTAGCCTTCCTGATTTCACTCCTGTATGCCCGAGCAATATCTTTATACTCATCCCTGGTCTTTTGTCCAATCTTCCACTTCTTGTAAGCCTCTTTTTTGTGTTTAAGATCAGCAAGGATTTCACTGTTAAGCCAAGCTGGTCGCCTGCCATATTTACTATTCTTTCGACACATCGGGATGGTTTGTCCCTGTAACCACAATAAGGATTCT